CTGAAGCTTCGATACTGTCAATACCAAAACCCACTTCTGGAACTGTTCCTGAGCCAACTAAATCCAGCTTAAAAGGACTCTGCTCAAAGTACTTAGTTTGTTAGGTGTAAGTTGTTTTCTTCTTTTTAGCATTTTGTTTTCACACACTGTTTACCATTAATTTCCTTACTGCCAACTTAAGAGACCACATCTTTCACACAGAAAACTCATACATACAATTTGCTTCATAGTGAAACCTTCTACATATCATCAGTCTCGTCACAATTGTAACATATTTAAGAAGGGAACTGCCTCACCTCTGCAGAGTTCAGAGGCGCACGGAACAGGCTCAGGGTAGCGCCTCCTGTACTGTGGCTGCTCAAATTTGTCAGCAGTATTGCAGCCTGTTCCCTCACAAGGCAGGCTTCTTCATGATCAAGCAGGAAGCTATATCAAATAATGTACATCAGATCATTCGATGAAATGGCTGGTACTCAGAACTCAGTGACTAAGAAAAGTTATGTAAAAGAAAACAAATTTAGTTTCATTACCATAGCAAAATACTTACCTTGCTATAGTGAAGTTGACACATATCTTGACCAACTTTCAATCAAATTCTGATAAATTTCTAGTCACATAAAATGCAGATCAAAACAATAAATGTCAACTGTTAATAGGTGAAGTATGCAAAGAGATAAATGTGGAGCAAACAAATTCCATTACAAAACAAAAATCTGTAAACAGTCCAGTAGGTTTTCCAGGGATGTAAATCAGACCATTCAAGTCAATGTCTCCTCACCTTGCTTTGTGCCTAGACACTGGAGAAACTTAACTTTTAGTCTGCTTAAATTACACAACTTTTCTTGTTCTGGTAAACCATACTGGCCAATCTAGAAATACACACAAAAACTATATCCTCACATTCCACAACCACAATGCAGGACATAATTGTAATACAGAGATCACTAAGAAATCTTCTAAAATTGTGACAAAGTTCACATATCTGCAAATGACAGTAACCAATCAAAACTACATTTGCAATGAGATCCAAGCAGATTAAATATGGGGAATGCTTCTCATCATTCATTTCAGAATTTCTGTCTGTCAGTTTCACATGTAAACAAGATCAGGAAGGCATTCTACACTTATCGGTGGTAACATCAACATACCACTTAACTAGCAACCACAGCTCGGGAAGTGTAGACTAAAAACTCTCTTACTCAGAAAACGTTTTGGAGAATGGGGAAAATTACATAATGAATCTTCATAATTTGTATTTTTACAACAAAAAAAAAGACCAAATGATGAAATGGATGTAATACGCAAGTGAGACATAAAAAACGCATACAAAATTTTAGCTGCTAAGCATGAAGGGAAGAGACTACTTGAACAACACAGGTATATATATGGGAGGATTATATTAAAATATAAATTAAAGACGCGTTATTTTTATACTGTCTATCGTGATGATTCAATCTGACAGAGCTGCACTTTATCGCAAGTTTCTAACCTGAGACCTGCACCCCACATGCCACCTGCTATGGTAGAAAGCCCTGACAGAAGATATTCGCATCCCTGGTGTGATAAACAGAACCCAGCCACTAGCTGCAGGGCAGCGGAACGAACTACCGTGTCGCGACTCATCCACAATGGAGGTAACCACATTAGGTTGGCCTGTCCAGCTGCGTGAGTTTCTGCTCCCAGGGAACACAGCCACACTGTCTCCCAACCCTGCAACAAGATTAACCAGTTCCTGGACATCCCACTGCACCAACATGCATCAAAATAACAATTTATAAGTTAAACATTTTAGATTAAATTTATTTTGAGTACTGCTATACAATTAAACATATGACGCTTGTCTACTATCTTTGCACGATCCTGCAACTTCAAGCACAGTATTGAACCTTCAGATTCCATAAAAAACACAAAGTTTCTTGGTTAGCTTAGTAATTACCAGCTGCTCAAAAAGGTCTCTGCTGCAAGAAGTTATTTGAATTCGACCAGCACTTAATGTACTGCTGCATCAGAATGATACCCATTGTATATTTCCTGCCGGAGACTTCCAATGACTCTGGAAGCAGAAGTCTTTATACCTTGTTGGATGTGCTGTGCTGCATCTCACAGAGCAGATGGTTCATACACAGCATTGCATTGCGAGTGATACTGACACCCATAAAGGAAGCTACGCCAGCCCCATCTTTACCACAGGGAAATGCAGTCACTAGCTCCGTCAAACACGAGATAAGTTCACTCCACAATCGGTGAACATGGCCATCTGGGTGATCAGTCCAACCGAGCGTGCTTGTGAGGTGAGCCAAGCATGACAACATCCAGTCCAGGAAGGCTAAGACAGGACGTTAAGACAGCGTATCACTATTCAGGATGGTAAATAAACTTAACATTTAAATTCAAAATGGAAACATAACATTAACCTAACTCATTCTTACATTAATTAGGTTCTATACCATAAACATTTGACTATGAGAATATTAAATGTGGGGAACTCTTAAAACACAGTTCAGGGTGTCTATCTTCCAAACTCTTAGCTAAATATGTAAAGATTAAGAGACACAAAACTATATATTTATGTGCTGCATGGAATTTAAAATGGTCTCTCACTACAAGAAAAAACAAAATGCTGCAGAGGAGAATTCTTGAAGCTGAAAGAGCAAAAGCAAAAGTTTCCAAAGAATCGCTACTGTCACTTTTCTAAGATTTTAAAATCTACTGAGAACCTACCTGCAATCTTTCACGTGTGAGATGAGTTTCAGAAGTTAATTCCACCTTACAAAAGGCATGTTACTCACAGAGCACCATTTAAGAGTAGATAATAATAGGGAAGTGTTCTTATTGGTTACCCAGGTTATAGAAGGTCTGTGTGTCACTGAAGGTAAGATTCTGTGTGACTGCCTGGATTATGTGAGTCCAAGAGCCCGAGCGACTGCCAGTGTCGCCACCCGCACTTTTCTTTGGCACTGCACTTTCAGCTTCCTCTAATTTCCTCTCGTGCGATGAGCACTCCTGGACCAACTTCAGTATTTCTCGACACAGCTGTTTCGATACCAGACAGTCATCATCCGTTCCACTAGCTACAGCTGCTATTCTTAACAGATGGTTTGGTAATGGTTGAGTTGCATCCTTGAGAATTTTCGTTATCCAGTAACCTTGACATACCAGCTCTCCAACACCTGCTGATTATCGGTACACCATTATCAGTCTTGTTGTATTTTTAATGTGACAAAGTTCAAATAAAGACCAGAACTGTAAAAGTACGAATTATGTAGTGCTTGACTGCACAGTAATCTCTATCCTTCTGTTACGTCTTCTGTGTTAGGCGAAAACATCCTTCTCATCCACTGACCTTTAATCTATGTTCTACCTTTAGAGTCTGTATAAACATTTTATCCTTTAACCCTTCAAAATCTAAATTATACTTTGATAATTACCTTGATACCAATTTCAATTACAGAAAATTCTAACATTCAATTCCCAATCTCATTCATATACAAACTGCTTACATCATCATCATGTCAAAGAAGTCAACTCAAATGAAAGGTCCTGTCCAACATTTTAACATGCTAATTTTAATAAACAAATAAATAAATAACCAGCTTCCGCTGTTTATCAGAATATCTACGGTGGATGCGTCTCTTTTAATTCACCTTGTTTCCTTCTGCAGCACGTACTGAGGTACAGTTGCAACAACTCCAACACAGAAACAAGTAACTGCTGATCCTCAGTGGATGCCGGGGAAACTGCAAGGAACCTCTTAAAAGTATCAGCCCACGGCAAATCATGCCACCAATCAGAAGACTCAAGCTGAGATGCAACCAAGAAGTTTAATGTTGGTTCCATATGGCAATTCATTTTGCCACTGACCAATATGTGAAGTGCAAGGTACCTGCAAATAATGCTGAAAAGTTACTGTTCAGATTCTAATCTTATATATAAAACTAACCATATGCCCAGTGTTACTGGCGGGGAAACATGATACATGCTTGCAATTCTCATAAATCTCCATTGCCTGATCATTCAATACATTTTACTGAATATTGGGGAAAAAAAATAATATCCCCAAACCCACAAACTTCACCAAGACTTCAACCCATCATAGGTTCCAAGTTTGTGACCCTACTTTCTGTAATCTCCTTGCCAAAACAAACAGTTCTTTTCTTTGCACCATTCTTCTATTGTGCTTAGTTTTTGAGCTAAAGAAGCAATCTTCGCCTGGAATCTAAAGCAGGACAGTTCTTCAAGGTCGCAGCTTTTGGTTACATACTCTCCTCTTTGAAACGAACAACTTTAGCCTTGGCATAATTCTTTTATCATTCTTAGTTTCTTCACTGAGATGTGAACTCAGGACTCTTTCTGGAGTTCTGGTCTTCCTATATTCTCTTCTGAATGTCAACAAGTAAGTATTATAATATATGTCAGAAAAATGTCAGGTGATTTTTCTGAGAGTTTGGAACAAATCAGAATTTTCTACGTTGACATTAATGGAAATTTCACTTTCAAGTTACAAATTTTCACCTTACAAACAGTTTTCATCAAACAAATTATATTCGTAAAACAAGAGATAGGTGACTAAGATCAATTTCAAAGTGGTAAAAGACATTAACACCAAAATGTGGCTTTCCAAATGTCAGAAACATCCAGATAGATGGCCTGAAGTGTTAGAACCGCCACACAATTACAGAGCACTCTCTACAATGAAACAGTATAAAAATATATGAAAGAATCAAAATCTGCAATAAAACTACTAACCCTGTTACACAGTTAACAGCTTTCAGTACCGCTTGATGTGTGGTAGCATTCTGAATATCGTAGAAATGCTGCTTGCATCTGCGAACCACAGCTGTTGCTTTCAGGCACCTCAAATCTCCTTCCAAAAGTCTCAGTTCACACGCAAACCCAGACAGTTTATCCTCGCTTATAGCCGCATTGGGTGGTACTTCAGACCAATTCAGGACCACCTCTACTCCACCGAACCACTGCACGTTCCAGCAAAGTCGAAGCAAAGAGCAGCAACCCTCATCCTTCAGCAATTCTCCTGCACAGAGAAGCAACAAATATTTTCCATCCTAAAGAATAAAATAAGATATTAAACCACACAACTAAATTCCAGTGATTTCCCACACCACAAAGGAATCTATTTTTATTTTTTTTGTGCTTTTGTAACACAGTAGTTCCACTTTAGAACAGATACTTCACTAATCAGCTGTCAGGATATTTAATGACATTGCATCAACTACAGAGGTTGTGGAGCACCAAATTTAAATAAGTATTAATGATATTCCCTATGAATTTATTTCAGTGCCATAGTACACATGAAACAAAACTACAATTACAGCCCAACATCAGAAAATATAAGTTAAAAACCTAATTTTTATGGAGGGCTGCATTGAAGGTAAAAGCTAATAAAATGTGTAGACTTTTGTAACATTTGGACAAGCAAATGCTGCACAATGACATCATAAACATGTCCATAAAACTTGCATCAAACACCTTTATGTGTCAGAAGTACCGACACAGAGAGGCAAAAGCCTTCATTATGACAGGCCCTGCCGCTTACACTTACTAACTTCATACTTTTTTCTGAGTGCTGTGTGTGATGACTGCTGTGCCAATGCGTGTGACACAGAAATGGGAGTCTCATATGCCGAGCCACCAAGTCAGGGAGGGAGAAGCGATGCCATGGAGAGCTACTGCTGGCTGGCTCAGGGACACACAATATGAAGTCACTGTACAGAAGCAGACACAACAGCACCGAAGAATCTGATCGTAACCTGTCATCACCACTATACAGATACACAGCTGAAAACCAATCAAACAGCACAAATGCACTACACGGTTAAACGCATGTATCATGATCACATACCATGCTGAAGTATAGTATAAAAAACTGACCTCGTACAATACATGAGAAAAGGCTAGCATGACGCGAGAGTTCCTGCCGGAGTTTCGTGCTGTACAGTACCATGCTCTTCAGTACACTGACGCAAGGGATCACAGAATCAGGAGAGTTGCTGCGCTCCTTATCCACCTATAAAGTGACTTCCTACGTCATTATTAATTGTCCACCACAAACGCAGTAGATTTGACTGATTGCACAGCATATATCCAGTGCTCAATAATATTTCAATATATATGTGTGTATGAAATGTGGAAAATTGGCTCTATTTAAACACAACTATCTTCAGTGTAACAGGATATTGTATTTAAAAATGTGAGGGCCATGAAGCAGATGTCTGTTGCCAGTGACTTTTGAAGAAGAATGTAGATGTGTCCTGGCACTTCTAAATATTTAAATCAAAATGTTTGCATCTTGTTTTAGTCCCTCTGACAATTGTGTACACATGAAATTATTTTCCAGGTTAACCTAACCTAACTTACCAGGGCTTTATGTAAAATATCAAGTATCAAGTCCAAGCCATCTTGCTCCAAGAACTGGTCATGCAAAGTATGGTCCTCCAACATCACACTGATTTGTGTGAGAGCCGACCTTCTAACAGCAGGTTCCACTCCTTTTGATTTCAACAGCTCTACCACTTGACAGAGACTGCTGACCTAGAACATGCCCAGCGAATTTTGATTTTCAGAACAAGTTTAACATGTATGTATGAAGTGACTTTGGAAGTACGGAATGATAATGATGACGACGACAAGTATTTATATTTTTAGGGTAATTTTATTGGCATTTTTGCACCATTAGCTCCTCACAGCTCTTCTCTACCTGATAAAAGTGTTGCTGCATTCTTCTATGGTCAAGATCGACTGGTCTGTCAGTCAAACAAACAGAGTTGAGTAAAAGACCTCTCAAAGATGAGAAATCTGGAAGTTTCTCAAATGCTCTCTCTTCTCTATTCATTATCCAGGTCAGTCTTGACACGGCTTCTTCCCTCGTCAATGGATCGCTACAAAACAGCAGTCGAAGATTTCCTTTTAAAACCTGGAATGTGTATGAGGGCACGGGGTCAGTCCAAGAGAAACATACACAGAAACTATGATTTACTGTCCACTGCATTATGTGCTAGTGACATATTCACAAAAGAACTACGCTACGTGGCATGAACATTGCATCTTCAAACCTGTAAATCTTTTTGTCTGAAGAGGAACCTTATTCTTGTTGTGTAATATTCTCACTCCGAATAGCGACACAGTCAGTGCCGCATGTCATTCAAATTATTGTTTGTACTTAAAATCCTTACCTCTGCCATAGGCAGGTAAATTGACTGGCTGGTCTCTGGCTCAAATATTTTTACTACAGTTCGACCAAGTGACGTGGTTTTGTCAGCATAGCACTGAAGCAGGGGAAGTGCTGGAATCAGACGTTCCAGGAAACTCCGCCATGCTGGCTCAGGAAGTAGGAACTTGCCTTTCAGTAAATGAATCAATATCTCTTCTGAATACTGTTGTATCTAGGAACAACAAGTTGGTGGCTACTTCTTAAAAACAAACACCAGTCTGAATGAATCCATGATAACATCTTTGCGGTAATTTAATTATCTGAGATTTCAAATATAACAAAATTAAGAAATATGCGATACAACAATTGTTTCCCTTACTACAAGAACAATAACATAAATGCAGATAGATGAATCAACAGACACTGGATTGAAAAACAAATGGACACACTAAAACATTTTTTACATTATTTCCACATGTCTAGGGTTCAAATCCTGTCACAATGAACCTTTAATAAACATTGCCAATAAAAGCACACGGTAATTTTTTAAATGAGTCAATATTAACTGAACGTTAATGAAACAAGGAGTTAGTACATTACAGTATATTAATATATATTTAATACAGAGATGTATCCAAATAGGAATGACTTTCACTTGCAGAACAAGAACAGTTTATCTTATGTTGACTCTAACCTTCTTGTCCAAGCTTGCAGCTCCATGGGTGATGATCTCTATTAGCACTGCAGTATCACATAGGAAATCCAGCTGTCTCAAACCATCAACAGACATTTGTGACACTTGCTGAACACCCAGTATCACCACCACATATTTGTGACAACAGCTGTACATTTCAAGTCTCACATTTGGCTCAGAATGAGCCAGCAGTTTAAGAATTACACCTGTAACAACTTTCCAGCTGCTCTCATCAAAGGACATACTGAAAAATCAAACAGCATCAATATAATATTAATGAAACAGAATCTGTTAACAACTATAAATGTGCTATTTGATTCTGATAAAATGCTGGAACATTTAAACTGACATAAATAATGTACTTAAAAATTTCTTTATTACAGCTGAACAATTAACTGTACTAAAATAACAGACTTGGGTCCAATGAGAAATTAGTAATTTCCACTGTTCTCGAAGCATTATTAGGGCAATGATGCAGCGTGCATGGATGGAACAAAAAATGGATACAAAGTATCAGATGGGAAACTTAAGAGATGAGACCAGTAGGAGACAGGCAAAAATGAAAAGACAACATTATTCTACATCTTAAAAAATCAAATGTGATCAGGCTCAAAGCTTAAGCGGCAGACTCATCTGAACGTGACAACAAACCTTTGGGATCCCTACAAAATAGGGAATTTCTTGATCAGCTGAGTGACTACTAGTTCCACATGAAGGACTCTGCCCCATGGAGTTAGTAACTTCATTATATAAACAATAAGTGAAAGGAACAATTGGTAAACACATGTACTTACTGATAAAGTTTATTAACAGCAATCTCAACACAATGCCTCACTATGTCAAGATTCCCATGAAATGGAAGACTTGGTAATGATTCATCCAGCACTACAAATGACTCTCTTTCAAGCTTATTGTGATTCTTCAGAAATTTCACTGCAGCCTTCATAGATGCACATATCATCATAGCAGTCTCATATCTCGCGAAGCAGTCAGCGTCAGATAAAGTATGAAATGCCTGCAAACAAGCAATCACAAATACACCATTACGCTTATGGTAATCTAATTTGTCATCCCTCAGCCCTTAAGTTGGCGGCAGACCGTTCGGTGACGATTATTACTGACCAATTAAAATAAAATTTCAGCTTAAATTAATTCACCCCTCAGTAAAAGATCTTCCTTAAGCCACAGACTTTGTTCAACTGACCAAGAAATTCCAGAGCATAAAATCAAATCAAAGTACATGTAATGGTACTACAGACAGTATGATACTGTACCTTCACATACTGCAGAATATCTGTATGCAGCATTGGAAAAAAAGCAATAACAGACAAATCTATCAAACTTCCACACAAGACACTTTTGAACTTTTGATGTAAGACACTGTCTCCAACAGAAACAGGAACTATGGCCACTAACAACTTTCGAGTCAGCGCCAAGATCTGCAGATAAGTTAATCGGTTGGCCTCTTCATAAACACCTACAGATCTGTAAAGATTAGACAGGAATCATTATGTACTCACAGATTATACATCAAATATTCACTAACAGAAACATGCTGCCGCTATTCAAGATACACAGTATCAACAGTGAGTCGTTTAAGAGTGCTTAGAAGTTAGCCCAACATCAGGATCTTGGTTTCATGACAAAAATATATAATTGTGGGTTGTAGCATTCTGTAACGCTAGCATCCTACACATCAAAGTCTGTTTAGTGTTCCTCTGAGACAGGGCATGTAACATGCAAAGATGATTTTTGCAGAAAACTTGATGGGAAGAGACCATTTGGGAGATTTAAGCATAAATTGGAGACGAATATTAAGAGAAAACTTAAGAAGACAGGGTGTGGGGAGATGGACAAGATTTACTTGGCTCAGGATTACTGAATTGGTCAGTACAATTAAGAGCCCTGTTTATTCAGTTCTAACAAGCAGTACCTGTGTTTCTCCAAGACTTCTCCTACTAACATCAACACCTGTGTCAGGTGTTCTTTAACATCTTGCGCTACAGAATCAGAAAAAAACCAAACGCTCGGTTTTATGCACATGGCCAGCAGCTTAGCAAGCTCTGCTGCCAAGAGTACACAACAGTTCATATTGGTCTGTCTCCGAGATCCTGAGCTGGGACCAAGATGAGGCACAGTATAGAGCAGACAAAGCAAGCAGTACTGTGGCAAAGTTAGCTGCTGCAGCTGCAACAGCACAGAATCTTCTGTAGTTTCACTCGAGTAGCCTGCTTCACTAGGTGCCTGAAACATACAGTGACAATCACTGCAAGCTATGATCATGAGAATAAATGTAATTTAAAGCTATGTTATATGAACCCAGTCACAACTAGCTCAGCTAGTAAAGTAAGGTTACGCTCTGGACAGTTAAGCTCCAGTCTTTGAAACCACATCCAGACAAGCAATGAGAAGCACTGGGGCCCATCCAGTCTCAGAATAAGAGTGTCTTTCTCTAAGGGTACAGTAGCTGAAGCATGAAGCCAATCGTTCATTTACAAATAGTGCCGAGATCTAGAACATGTGGAACTTTACCTACACTCCCTCCTCATACCCTCAGCCGTCAGTCACAACCCATCAGAGGAACACTGCCTTTGCCATCTGAACCTCCTGGAATTTTATGTCAAAGAGCCTTTGCAAAGTTGCAGAGAACAATTCTTCAGCCTACACACGGCTACAACGGAAATTAAATTGGATGAACACGCTGAAGTATAAAATTATACTTACATTTTGTTGATAACCTTGATATCCTGCAGACTCCTGGTTGCACTGAGCTACATCATTGCCTGTGACAGATTTGTCTGTGTTCAAAGTGGCAGAAGGGTGACCTGACATGTAACTGGCAGATGAAACACTGGAATCAGGCCTATCACAAGTCTGCAACCATGACAACACCAATAAGCAACTCCATTAAGCACAGGCCTTTCTTACAATCCAACGGTCACTGTAGATTACCCACTTAAAGCGTATAGCCATTTTTGATTGCATACTGCAACGTTCATTTTATATATGAAATAAGTAAGTGGTAACAAATTAAATAGTCATGGAGCAAATTTCTGTTACAGGCACATTTTCTCATTAGGCAATACAAACAGATAACTGGAAGTCTCTAAAAGTAATGGTTCATAAAATCTGTCCCAACTCACTGCCTGCTTAAGGTTGGTAATTCCAGGATCACTGTAGTAGCGCACTCTGACCCGCAGAGCTGCTGTCAGTCTACAGAGGCAACATGCCACAATGTCACACACTCTGCTGTCACTGTTAAGTAAATCGAAGAATGCCTGCAACACAACAACCGATGCTGTGTCAGAGCCAACACTCTTCCAGTATACTGCATTTTCATCTCAAAATTAAATTAATTTTTTCCGTGCTGTGAATTATAAGCACGCTGCTAACTGAGAGGCAACAAGTACTTTGACTCGCCTATCACAGAAAAGACAAAGAAACTGTATTTAGTAAACAAACACAGTATTCATATGCTATGGTAATTTAACTTACAAAAATAACTATGAAGTGACACATCACATAATTTGAAAGAATACAACTGCTATTAAATCAGAACAAGAAGGTTGCAAAAAATTAAGACAGGCTGGCAGGAATTGCAACTAGCACGGAGTTTCTGTACCTACGTCGTTTCAACAAGTCTTCAGAGGTTCTCACTAATATAATTTTTAATGGAAAAATAACTTTCATACAATATGCATACACATTTACGATCTATCACCTTTACAACACACATTTCTCACAGTTGCAATGTCCACATTCTAAGGGAGGTCTTAATAACTGCACATTTTTCAAAGACCTGTCACCAAACAAAATTTCAGTACCCTACATTAAATTGCAAAAGCACTGTTCAAACCCCACAAGTTTGTATGGCTGCCAAATAAGCACTGCTCATGGAAGGTAATTATAAATTTCAAGAGAGTGAGACGGCTTCCATTTGAATCCTGATTGGCTTATGAATAAGTAGTCTGCTCCAAGGAACTAATTAGTTCTGCCTTAATATTATCATTCCATCCATACCATGGTCTCCCTAGTGTGCTCTTCCCTTCAGGTTCTCAGACATTTTGTACGCATTTCTTCTCATCTCTCCTATGCTTGCTGCATGTTCTTCCCATTTGAACTTTCTAAATATACTGACCCTGGCAATATTTGGTGAAGGGTTTGCAGTATGTTCCTCCTCATTATGCAGGTTTCTTCACCCTCTTCTTAATTATTTTCAATTTAATAATTAAAAGCAATTACTACCTTAATTATTGCAGGTCTCTGCAAGAAGACCTCTGCAGGAAAGTCTTGTAGCATCACATCTGTGAAGAACTGGCAAGTGTGAAGGATAAAAGGTAGGTCTGTGGTGCTGGCAAGTGATTCCTCGATGGACAGTAAGACGTGACGATCCGTCACGACAAGTGGCTGCCAAGGTAGCAGAAGGCATCGGAAGCAGCTTGGTTCCTGTGAACGCACTGCCGCAGCCTCATCTGTAGCGTTCCCACTGCTGAAGTAGCCATGACTGTGCTGATGAGGCACTTTGGATGGGCTTCAGAACAAAAGCATAGCAGAAACATGCTCATAAATTAAGTTGAATTAATCACATATTTTTATATTATGTGTAGTTATAAAAATATCAGAAAAATGTACTATGGTTTTCCTATGGCAGATTTTGCAAAGTGAGACTGCTGGTTCCACGTGTATCCCAAAGATTCAAACTGCATATCTCTGATTACATGTCCAGAGGGTTTCCACTACACCAGCCTGCTTGGTTACCAGAGGTGAGAAAATTTAGAGGCTTAATTTAGCTGCAGTAAAGTCCAACTTACAGGCAAGAGAATCTTGCTTATAGACAAATTGAAATGGAAATAATCATCCCAAAAAATTGCTTCTCTATAGTAGCACTGACCACTCTAGTGGCTCCAAAGCTTAAACATGACAACAACAATGTTCTGTAACAATCTCTAAACATTCTCCTAAACAGATAATGAAAAACATGCAATGTCATGTTTTCTAAGGG